TTCTAAATTTTGTCAAGTTTTTATAAATTCATAAATTTTAAATATCACTTTAGTTGCATTTGATTTCATGTTATGCTGATTAGTTATTTCATAAAATCTGATATTTACTGGGTTGATTTACACTAAAACTTCATTAAGAAAATGTGAGTCTTCATCCATATATATATTTTACCTGTGCAAGTATAACAATCATCAGTTTTGTTTTCTATTATTTATTTCTACAATTAATTTGTTTACTGATTATTAGTATTTGTTCTTTAACTAATGAGCTGTCCACTTCACATAGTTCAGGATTGCTCTATTATCAAAATCCTTTGCCAGTCTCAAAATTCTTTCAATTTCTCGGGAATACAAAAGAACATTCTCAGGGTCATAACATTTTGCTTTGTAAATATGTATCTTTTTTGCTAAGGTTTTTCTTAGTATTATATACTGCTATGCAACCAATTCTGCAACTTGCTTTTTTTTTATCTTGAAATATTAGATTGGTTTGTCCTGGTTTTAGGGAAGCTTTTCGAAAACTAATACATCAGTTTATTTCTCTATTTTATTCACTTCCCAATATATCCGAGTTTTATCTGCTTTAGAAGACAGGTGGCTGAAAACAGTGCAAATGAGCTATAATGGAAAAAGACTTTGCCACCGTTTTATAGGAGAAATATTTATCAGAATTCCATACTGTATGCTAAAATAGTAAATACTTGAAGATGTGTTACATCTGCAACATTCAAAATATATTTTCCAGTTTGGCAAAAGATTTGGCACTGAAGAAGTATTTAGGTATTTTAGGCTAATCATCCCACTCCTAGAAATTTATCATAAGCCATTAATCTCAAAGAAAACAAAATGACAGCATTTTTTTATGTTTGTTTGAAATAATACATGCTATGGTAAAATTTTTAGCAATAAGGTCATTGATAAGTTTAATTTGTTCCTTCCATTCTCACTCCCCTGGTACTCTATAGCCTTCCAATTTTTTCTGTGCATATTTACATATCCATTTTTCCATACTGTTTATAATTTTGATTAATAACTCATTGATATCTTTATTGTAACTCATTGTAAAGGTAAAACTACTGATTTCTAGTCCTAATTGGTTTTGAATATCTAAGTTCTGACATAATATTTTTTTGTGAGGTGAACTCATATATACCCACATCCAGATGGAAGTACCAAAGCATTCTTTTGGTTGTTTTGTTTTGTTTTTGGTTTTTGTTGTTTTTGTTTTTGTTGTTTTTTTTTTTTTTTTAGAAACAAAACATTCTAAACAAGAATAATTTGTTCTTTTGATGCCATTGTTCTCTTGATGCATTCTCTTGATGCCATTTTGTTACTGCTGACAGGATATGACTTTTCTGATCAGGGGAGTTATGCAGATAATGCAGATTATGGTTCTTCTGCAGCAATTGGATCATTTAGCAACTGACAAATGATGGGTACCTGGCTGGCTCAGTCAGCAGAGTATGCAACTCTTGGTCTCACAGTCCTGAGTTCAAGCCCCAGTTGGCTTTTAAGTGGCTTTTTAAGTGGAGCCACCTTAAAAAAGTTTTTTGACAAATGGCTACTGTTGATAAGTCATTCAAACCCATACAGATTTTGTCCACTAACAATATCTTTTTTAATGACTCACAAAACTTTTTAATTATAAAATTGTATTGTATTTTATTTTTTTAAAGATTTTATTTATTTATTTGACATGGAGAGAGAGGTCACAAGTAGGTGGAGAAGCAGGCAGAGAGAGAGGAGGAAGCAGGCTCCCCACTGAGCAGAGAGCCCGATGCAGGGCTCCATCCCAGGACCCTGGGATCATGACCTGAGCCGAAGGCAGAGGCTTTAACCCACTGAGCCACCCAGACACCCCTAAAATTGTGTTTTATAATGGAATTAACATCATTCTATAATTTGTGTTGCAGCACTTGGAGTTTCATGGGAATGAATGATATTCATAGTAAATATATGGGTTCTAAAAAAAAAAAAAGCAAACCTGGAGGCATCACAATTCTGGACTCCCAAGTTATACTACAAAGCTGTAGCAGTCAAAACAGCATGGTACTGGCACAAAAATGGACACAGATCAATAGAACAGAATAGAAAGTCCAGAAATGAACGCCAACTATATAGTCAATTAATCTTCCACAAAGCAGGAAAGAATATCCAATAGGAAAAAGGACAGTCTCTTCAACAAATGGTGTTGGGAAAACTGGACAGCAATATCAAAAGAATGAAACTGCACCACTTTCTTACACCATACACAAAAATAAATTCAAAATGGATGAAATGCCTAATGTGAAACTTGAAGAGAACATAGGCAGTAACCTTTCTGAGTAGCAATATTTTTCTAGGTATATCTCTGGAAGCAAGGGAACAAAAACAAAAATATACTAATAGGGCTTCTTCAAAATGAAAAGCTTCTGCAAAGCAAAGGAAACAATAAACAAACCTAAAAGGCAATATATGGAATGGGAGAAGATATATGCAAATGACTTATTCAATAAAGTATTAGTATCCAAAATATATAAAGAATTGATAAATCTCAACACCCCCAAAACAAACCAAGTTTAAGATGGACCAAAGACATGAATAGACATTTTTTCAAAGAAGACATAAAAATGGCCAACAGACACATGAAAAGATACTCAAAATCCTTGATCATCAGAGAAATGCAAATCAAAACTACAATTAGATACCACTTCACACCTGTTAGGATGGATAAAATCAACAATACAAGAAACAACAGGACTGGCAAGGATGTGGAGAAAGGGAAACCCTCTTGTGCTCTTGGTGGGAATTACAGCTGGTGCAGCTGTCTACTCTGGAAAACAGTATGGGAGGTCCTCAAAAAGTTAAAAATAGAGCTATCCTAGAACCCAGCTATTGCACTACTGGGTATTTACCCAAAGAATACAAAAATGCTAATTCAAAGGGATACATATATCCCAATGTTTATAGTAGCACAATCTACAATAGCCAAGATACAGAAGCAGCCCAAGTGTCCATTGATTGAAGAATGGTTGAAGATGTGGGGTGTGTGTGTATATGTGTATACATATATGCATATGTGTATACTATATACACGTGTGTATATTGTGGAATATTATTCAGCTACAAAAAGATGAAATCTTCCTATTTGCAACAACCTGGATGGAGCTAGAAAGTATTATGCTAAGCGAAATAAGTCAGAGAACAACAAATACCATATGATTTCATTCATGTGGAATTTAAGAAACAAAACAAGTAAGCAAAGGGTAAAAAAAAAAAAAAGAGAGGGAGTCAAACCAAGAAACAGACTCTTAGCTATAAAGAACAAACTGAAGATTACTAGTAGGGAGGTGGATGAGGGGATGGATAAAATACATGATGGGGATTAAGGAGAATACTTGTGATGAGCACCAGGTGTCGTATGGAAGTGTTGAATCACTATATTGCATGCCTGAAACTAATGTTACACTGTATGTTAACAAACTGTAATTTAAATAAAACCTTAGCCTGGGTGGCTCAGTCAGTTAAGCATCTGACTCTTGATTTCAGCTCAGGTCTTGATCTCAAGGTTATGAGTTAAGAAACCAAGATCTGTGCATTAGATGTGATACTTGTTACTGGGGTGTCATTGATTCCAGGACCTCTCAGCTGACAGAGAAAGAAAATATATGTATAAATATATACATATTTATATACATAAAAAATATGGGTTTCTAGACATTTTCCATTATCTCCTATTTCTTGGTTATTTATTTGCTGATATAATCTTACCTTTTCACCTGAAATTTTTATGTTTAACTTTTCTAAAAGATCTTAGGAAATATTAAAGGAAATTTTTCCTAGCCATTATTGTTGGATGATTTTTTTAAAAGTTTTTTTTTAAATTTCCTTTTGTTTTGAACAATTTAAAAATAAATATTTTTAGTTTATCATCTGTCAGTTAAAATCTAAGTAAGAAATACAGGAAGATCAGATATAAGTCTTTAGTCAATTGAGAAAAATATATAGGGTGAAATCATACTATCTTAGAGTATCTCTTTAAATGAGTATGATTAGATGTTACTTTGAGAGTTTTGTCCAAGGACAGTAGTATGCAATTTAAAAACCTCAGTAAAAGTATGGGTATTTCCTGTGAAAGGATATTACTGTACTATAACTGGCTTATTTCACTTAGTTTTTTCCAAGTTTCATCCATGTCATAGCACGTGTCAGAATTTCATTCCTTTTTCTTTCTTTCTTTTTTTGTGAGATTTTGTTTATTTATTTGAGATAGGGAGTGAGTGGGAGGGAGAGAGAGAGAGAATCTGGAGCAGACTCTGAACTGAGCACAGAGCCCTTCATCAGGCTTGATCCCACAACTGTGACATCATGACCTGAGCCGAAACCGAGAGTCTGACACTTACCCAACTGAGCCACCGAGGTGCCCCAGAATTTCATTCCTTTTTAAAGCTGAATCATATTCCATTATATATAGGTACCACATTTGTTTGTTCATTCATCTATCAGTGAATATTTGGGTTGTTTCCACTTTTGGCTCTTGTAATTAATGTTACTATGAACATTGATATATAAGCTGTAAAAATAATGAAATCTTGCCAATTTTAACAACATGGATGGAGCTAGAGTATATTATACTAAGTGAAATAAGTCAATTAGAGAAAGACAAATACCATATGATTTCATTCATATGTGGAATTTAAGAAACAAAATAAATGAACATATGGTGGAGAGAGAGAGAGGAAAACAAACCATAAGAGACTCCTAACAATAGAGAACACACGGAAGGTTATTGGAGGGAGGAAGGTGGGGGATGGGCTAGATGGGGGGCGGGTATTAGGAGGGCACTTGTTATGATGAGCACTGGGTGTTTTATGTAAGTGATGAACCACTGAATTCTAGTCCTGAAACCAATATTGCACTGTATTTTAGCTAACTAGAATTTAAATAAAAATTTGGGGGGGTGAAAAGAAAAGAATTTTCAAATATACAAGCTTCAAAACCTCCTATTATTCCTTTCTCAGAAAGCAGCAGAGGATGTGCTGCTTCCAAACTACAAAGAAAACCAAGAAAAAGGAAACCAGAGAAATGAGAAAACAGGAGATTCAACATAAGAACTACTACTACTAGAGGAAAGAAGGCTGGAGAGAATTGGGAGAGGTAGGTCACCAGGGTTAAAAGTGGAACTTATATATTATTTGAAAATCTGGCAAAATCATTCTTACATTTTTTGGCTGATCTCTTTACAGAATTTGGAAAAAAGTGAAGTTTTAAGTCCATAGGAAAACAAGCAAAGCAATTAACTACAGAAAAACAACGTGGAATTGTAATACAATATGCTTAGCTCAGCACTGAACAATATTTATTTAGTCATAGTAATATAAATATTATATACTCATTTAACCAAAAATTGTGATATAATTTCATTCTGAAGAAAAAAAACTGTCATTTGTAGCTTATAAGGAATATATTCTCAAATACAGTAACAACATAAATGTCTACAATTGATGTCAAGTATAAGCACATTACTTAGAATTATGGAGGTAAATAGATGAATCAGCTAAAATTATAGAAAAGTTATATTTAAAGAGGATTGGGACTAGGGACAGATGGTAAGGTAGAAGGAGCCTCATGGGACTTTTGATTTTAAAAAGTTAAGCATGGCGCACCTGGATGGTTCAGATGGTTAAGCATCTGCCTTCGGCTCAGGTGATGATCTCCAGGTCCTGGGATCAAGCCCCACGTTGGGATCCGTGCTTAGTGGGGAGTCTGCTTCTCCCTCTCTCTCTGCCCCTTGCCCCTGCTCATGTTCTCTCTCAAAAGAATAAGTAAAATCTTTTTTTTAGAAAAAGTGAATATGGCACAGTGGGTAAAAACATAGCCTGTGGAACTAGAATGCCTGGCTTCGGGTCCCATTTAAAATTGTTTCTAAAAAATAATAATAATAAAAATAAATAAGTAAAATTGTTTCTACCCCATAGGGATGGTTATGAAGAATAAAAGTAAAATGTTAACAATGTGCTAGATGCATAGCATGTTCTATGTGTTGGCTAGTAGTTGTAGTAATACTAATTATTTAAATGTTGTGCAAATACTACATTATTAACTTTTTTTTTTTTTTAAGTAATCTCCATGCCCACTGTGGAGCCCAGTGCTTGGCTTAAACTCACAACTGTGAGATCAAGACCTGAGCAGAGATCAAGAGTTTGACACCTAACCGATTGAAACACCCAGGCGCCCCTTAACGTTGTTAACTTTTTTTTTATTACTATTTTTAAAATTTATTTATTTGCCAGAGAGAGACACAGTGAGAGAGGAAACACAAACAGCAGGAGTGGGAGAGGGAGAAGCAAGCTTCCCAAGAAGGGAGCCCGATGTGGGGCTCGAACCCAGGACCCCAGGATTACAACCTGAGTGGATGGCAGACGTTTAATGACTGAGCCACCCAGGTACCTCCATTGTTAACTTTTAAAAAATTGTTTTGTAAAGAATATTGCAGTCATTCTGAAAAAAAGATAACAAAGTCCTGAACTAAGACTGTGTTAGTGGGTTTGGAAAGGAGATTATTGAAATATTTGGGAAATAATAAGACTGAGGATCTGAGTGAGTAAGAGAGGAGAGTATAAGGGTCAAGGATGTTCCTTTTGTTTGCTTATTTAATGAACTGGATAGGTAGTGGCTACCAAAACCCAAAAATATGAATAAAGAAGAATGGATTGGGAGAAGCTTGGGAAATTCCTGGGTGACAGGCATAATGAGTTCGATTTTGGATATTTTGAATTTTCAGATACCTCTAAGTTGACTTTAAATGTTATTGAATTAAGATATTGATGGAAATTAAGTCAGCAAAGTTAAGCTTAGTAGATAAAGCATAGCTCTCTGGTGTGCATCTCTGTTCTAAAAGTTGTAGTTAATGAGTGTTGAAGAAATTGAGGAATTTATTTTGGGATAGCAAGTGTTAGAACTGGCATGAGTTCCAATAAATGTTAGTATGAAGAACACATTGGGATGCTTAAAACATATAGGGGCATTGTATCCAGTGGTAGAACTGAGAAGAGTAAGACTTTTCCATCAATTTAAAACAAATATTGAAAAATCAGCTTATGGGGGCACCTGGGTGGCTTAGTCAGTTAAGCATCTGCCTTGGCCTCAGGTCATGATCCTAGGGTCCTGGGATGGAGTCCTACATAGGACTCTCTGCTCAGCGGGGAGTCTGCTTCTGCCTCTCCCTCTGCCTGCTTCTCTCCCTGCTTATGCTTTCTCTTTCCCTGTCAAATAAATAAATAAAAATCATAAATAAATAGATAGATAGATAAATACAAATCAGTTTATGTAGAGGAAGCCTGGGTGGCTCAGTTTGTTGAGTGTCTGACTCTTGATCTTGACTCAGGGCTTGATCTCACAACTGTGAGATCAAGCCCTGAGTTCAGTTCTGTGCCGGGTGCAGAGCCTACTTAAAAAAAAGAAAAAAATCAGGGTTGCCTGGGTGGCTTAGTCAGTTAAGTTTCTGCCTTCCTCTCAGGTCAGGATCCCACAGTGCTGGGATCAAGCCCTGCATCGGGCCCTCTGCTTAGCGGTCTCTGCTTCTTCTTTTGCCCCTCACCCCGTTGTGCTCTTTCTCCTCTCTCTTTTTATCAAATAAATAAATAAATAAATAAATAAATAAAATCTTTAAAAAAAACCCAGTTTATATAGGGTGTTAAAAAGTTTAGAAATTAGTGGTGATGGTTGCACAACATTGTGAATGTAATGCCTCTGATCTGCACATTTAAAAATGTTTTACATAAATGGCCAGTTTTATGTTTTATAGTTTTACCACAATTTAAAAAATAATGTAATATACCCAAAACTCTAATATTATATACTTTAAATCAGTGAATTGTATGATGTCTAAATTATATTTTAATAAAGCTGTTAAAAAACCAATCTATGTATACAGCTAAGCCAGAAATTTCTGTACAAGTCAAGTTAAAGGGGACTAGTCTTGTCCTTGAAAACTGTCTTAAGCATTCTATTTGATAGCTTTGTCTCTGGTACTCAGTAAATATTTTTTAAGTGAATCAATAAACAAATGAACAAATAAGTGGACTTAAGTGCAATATATATAAATCTATCTGGCGCCTGGCTATGGGGTTGCAAGTTTGGGTTTGGGAATGTGATAATCATTGTGGTCCCTGTCCTCTTAAAATACAGTCATAACTCCCATATACATTTCTTTGTTTTACAAATACTCTTAAAAAGAAACATGCATTTGGTGATCTTTTCCTTGTCTATTCTGATGAATTCAGTCCAAGGAGAGACAAGATTGCCTACCTTCTGATATGAAAACCTGAAGACCTGGTAGGTATCATGACACAAAGAAAATTACTAGACTAGCCCTCAGAATCATCATTCATTGTGGAGATACAAAAGAATGAATTAAAGACATGACCCTAAAGCAGAAATAAGAGCAAACGCCAGAGAGTCCTGATGATACAGTTCTGTAAGTGACAACAAACCTATCTCTTCTCAACATAGATTTTATGACTGAAAAGGGCTTCCCAGTACATCTCTCAAATTACCAATTTATCTTCTTCTACTTTAAAATCTAAGACAACATTGGTATAAAATGACATCTAGAAAGAAGCCAGTGAAGTAATAAATGCACAAACATATAGTTCCAAGTAAAAAATAAATTTGTATTCCATATTATCATTATCAATTAGCCAATTGTTTTTTGAGTTGTTGATGTGGGAAACAAAGGCAGAAGAAAAATTATTACATTTCCTTACTATTTTCAGCCTGTTGTTCTTAAAGTTCTTAAAGCAGGCAGAGTGACATTCCTCTAGGGACTCAACTGCCTCAGTGTTGATACTTTGCTGAGGGCTAAAGGCAATCTTAGCCCAACCCCCAGGATCCTATAAGTCTACTTTAACAAATAAAAATTCCTTTGGAAACTTCCTTTATCTCTACCCATCCCCCATCCGCCAAGATACAGGTTTGATAATCATCCCCCAAGCATATGACCCACCCCACCAATATATACCAGAAATGTCTCATTACTGAGCTTTTATTAAACAGTAACAAGTGACCTTTCGTAACAATAGCACCCCCCCCCCCAACGCCCTCCTTGGCTGACCAATCCCTTAGGATCCTGGAAACTTTGTTTCCAAAATACCTGGGAGGCTTACACTATCCCTAACCCCCTCCCAACTTGAAAGTGTATTATGGGCTACTCAGCAAGACACCAGTGCAGCTCTTTCTGCCCACAGGTCCTGTCCCCATGCTTTAATTAAACCACTTTTTGCACCAAAGATGTCTCAAGAATTCTTTCTTGGCTGTTGGCTTCAAACCCTAAGGTCTTTCCTACATCATTGTGACTTGGGGAAAGAATGCTTAGCAGGTGAAATTGGTGGTATAGGTTTACAGTTGAACTTAAGTAAAAACTCAGAGTAGGATCAATAATTGTCTTCTGCCTGAGTGTAAGGACTTATGGTCAGATGTCATCTACAGGGCAAGGGAAATGGATCAAAGATTTGAGCTGGGGGCGCCTAGGGCTCAGTGGGCTAAGGCTCTGCCTTTGGCTTAGGTCATGATCCCAGTGTTCTGGGATCCAGCCCCAAATCGGGCTCTGTGCTCTGCAGGGAGCATGCTTCCCCCTCTCTCTCTCTGCCTGCCTCTCTGCCTACTTGTGATCTCTCTCTCTCTCTGTCAAATAAATAAATAAATTAATAAATCTTAAAAAAAAAACAACAACAAAAAAAGATTCGAGTTGGTAAAAAGTGTCTCTAAAACATACAATAATAAAGGCAACTATTTTGTTGACCGAGATGGATGGAAAAGTTGAGGAGTAACTGCTCTGCACATGAGAGGAATGATTTCTAAAGACATGCTTTAACTTTTCAAAGAGCCATGGTTTATGGTTGAAGAAAATAAAGGAAAGAGGTTAGCATTTCTTTGCTCATACTTGTCTCTGCTTTAAGTTGCCAAGATGAGTTAACGTTTAAGATTTAAAGAAGTTCTGCTGCACATAATTACCCAATCCACCCCCAGCTCATCCTATTCTTTCTAACACATGTCTACCCATAACAAAATAGCAGAAGCAAAAGGAACACAGGCCCTCTTGGCTACTTTAATACTTCTGAGGTACTGATAACACCCAGAGTATCAGGAATTCCTTT